GGGTCATATTGAGTCGGGCTGCGCACCAAATAATCCTGCCCCAGATCAGTGCTCGTGCTATCTTCACACACTATAACGATCGGACAACTGTGAGCATCCTGTTCGACTATGTGAGTGAGCGCCTTGACTCAGTCGATAATGTTTTTCGATCTTACACACCCAGTTGCCTCTCGAGTTTGACATTATTCGTTTACATAATTTTGCTGTTACCTGTGAACATTGTGTTCTGAAATAATGATATACTTCAGCGAGGATAGACAATCTACATTCGAAGAGATATATTTATATATTTCACACACGGGGAAATCTGCGATGCACATGAACGGATACTTCCACTGAGTTTCTCTCTGAACATGCACTATCACACAAAGCAAAATTCATCTATTATTTTCCATTATCATAATAAATATGAGATTAAAAGGTAGGTGTTTTATGCTTAGCGTGAAACAGATGGAGAAAAAATCTCCAATGATAATTAAAAAAATGGAAAGTACAGAAAGAAAACAAGTTGGTTAACACGCATCGGCAAAACTCGTGCAACATTTCATTCCCGGTACATCATTTGCATTTGTTGCTCAAGGAGGTAGAGTAGTGAACCGTTGTTCGTTGTAATGGAGTCCAAATAGTGGTATCACCGGTAATAGTTTCAACATCATTGGATTAATTCACAGCGCTTGAGTCTAAATTTTCACCTTAAATCAGTTCCTACTAAATGAAATAACTTCATCTTGTCTATAGCCCACAGGTGTCTACCAAGAGTGTCATCACATTACTACTTACAGACTACCGTATGAAAATGACCAGAGTTCCGTGGGTTTAGGGACCTTTGACAATGTCATCAGGTGCGCTGATCAGATTTTTGTTCTTGATTGTACTTTGGAATAATAATGATACACTCAGCCCGAATGTTACCGGATTTTGTCACGTGCTGATGCCTATAGTCTATTTGTGTGCACAACACTAGCAGATACAGAATGAGATGGCAACTATCGCCATGACTTACCCCATGAACCATGAGGCCAGCGGACTGATGGCGGTCAACTGATGAACTACAGTAAGCCATTCATCACGACATATGAACCGCTCCTGTATTCTGTAGGACAGCAGGGCTTGTTTATAGTCCGCTGAAAACGCAATTGGACCGGCAAAAGTGTTCAATGGACCAAATCCAACCACACTGTTGTGTTGGTTAAATAGTACTTGATTAGCACTGGTGTGGTCGCTTGACCACAACTGACGCCAACCGGAACTTCTGCTTGACGTGAGACCGAGTGCGTCAAGATCAAACGAGGGCAGTGCATCATACAGTTTGGTCGCCATGTTATCTTCCAGCGTGCGCTGATAACGTCGTGACTTGGTCAGATCTTCGTTTGCCACAGCTCTGTACAGAGTTTGTTCAGAAACGGTGGTTACGATAAATTTGGACGTGTACGCTTCCGCAACCGGTTTGATCTATCAAACGTATGTACAGCAAAAATTAAACAAATGAAACGTGTATTAAGCATACATTGTATTCTTTTAATGGGAAACTACATCACAAAACCTATATAAATTTGTAAATTCGCACCTGGTAAGAGGCCAGCAGACTCCGTAATGATCTAATTTATCACTAAATCAATAGGATAATGTAACGGGAAATAAAAGTTTTTTGTCTATTTACTCGATAAATACCAATCCACCTAATTGGAAATATCAATTTATTACCATAGTCAACCGACTCCGATTTATATATATATATATAATGAGTTACTCAAAGCGTTTTCGATTTCGTTAGAAAAATGCTGAATGATCAAGCTTTTTGTAACCAACGAAGCCTTTCTTGAAAAGATAACTCTTCCGTACCCTCGAATAATTGCGTGTAATTCTTTTCAGTTCTGAATTAAATTATATAAGTAGAAACAAAACGATGAACTCTTAACTCGGATTTCCTGTTAGGAAGCTGGGGGTATTGCCTTTCTGTCATCAATTATTAATAATCCAACTGAACCCAATTTGAATTAACCGATCAATAGGATTTCCATTATGTTTACCATATGAACAAGCATCTAAATGTGTCCAATCGCGGACGAAAACAAGCTTGTTCTCATTCAGTCGGTTTCCTGATGAATGAATGAGAATCTGCATTGTGACAACTAGTAAAACTTGACTGATGTAAGTAATCGAAGTGATATATCATAAATAATCGGATGCCAGTTTTCGATGTGCAACTTCTGCATCCCAATTTTCATCTTCCACATGGAACAGAAACTTACACTTGTTTCGAGGAAGTGACGCCACTGTTCGGTGGAATGTTTCCGGTAATGATTAAATTTTTTGAATAAGGAAACACTGTTCCAGTCTAAATCCGGCAGATGTGAACGCAAATCGAGCACAGGTTCGAATTTGATCAACACTTTTGTAACAACTGGAGTAAGATGAATCAAAGAATCGCTCAGTGTCTTTAGACGAGGAGCTTGTGAATCTGATTTGGCTGTTTGACTGGTCTCGTGTGTTTCCGGAGTGAAACCGCTACCCGCCTGAGGATGCCTTCTATGGGACAAAGTAGGTGTCGGGCTGGTAATGCAATCATTCCCACCCAGCTGGCTGACGGATGCCTCGAATTCAACCATCCGGGCAAAGAAGGTGAGTAATTTCTCCAGGCGGTAGAGGAGAAATGCAGCCTAGAAAAGTTGATAGGATAAATCGAATTTGATCACATTCAGAAATTATGGACAGCAGTACACAGCGTTCTACGGACAATTATCATGGGAAAATTAATTTACATCAGAAATCGTAGCAATTTGAACTTTTATGGTTTTTTGTCAGAGGAAGCCTCGCCTTCCCCTGAGAATTCTCGTGATTTGTATTTGAAATAACCTGGGATCAGTGGTGAACAGTCTACTTCAGATAAACTTGGAAAATAGCTTGCAGATTTTGGTAATCCTTTAAACACTCCAACAGAAAAAATTAAAGAAAAAAATAATCAGCAAAATTGAACCGAACGATACTGATTGTACACAACGGGGAAATCTACTGAGTAAAATGATAAGAGTAAAAGTAGTAGTTGTTTAAATGATAGAATCGAGAGGATGATACTGAAGGTGAACGAAATAAGCGTGCATAATTAATTATCTGATTGTTTAAAAAGAGAGAATACTGCAAAAATAACACCGAACTGTAAATGACACTCTAGAATTCTTCCGTTAGACAGATTTTAGCAGTGCTTAACAAGGTGACCAAACACATTGATGTGAGAGTTGCCGGTGCATTTGAAAACTTCAGATATCTATGATCTCATCACGACAATCGGCCGTTTGTGAAAGGTCGAATGTACGCTGTAGTGGTTGGGCCAGCAATGCTCTACGGTGCACAGACTTGAAAGGAACAGCACGAAGAAATACGGTTCGAAAAACGCAGTTTACAATACACGAATCTGGTGGAGAAACTGGACGAGCAATGCCGAAGTTAGACACAGAGTTTTGAATGATCGAGGTCGCTGAATGGGGCATGTGATCGACATCTATAGGTTACGCTGGTTGAAGGATGTGCTGCATATGTCGCGAGATGGATTACCATAAGGTGCAATGCTTGCCGAGCGAGGTAGCGGATGGAAAAAGGTCTATGACAGCCAAACCAAGACCTGGCATGAAGGTAGGAAAATCCCAACCAGGAGACTCAATCATACAGGTCCAGTTGTTTACCTTGTATGGGAAATTTAGGTCATGGTAACTGGTGGTTAGAGACAATAAGTGATATGACTGTGTCACAACTAGTGGCGCCCTTGCGTTTACTCATTTTCTTGCAACCCAAAATTCTTCCTTCTGATCTATTAGCAAAAAGGGCATTCATGACACAGCATCCATAACCGGCGTGCGAAAGCGCTTGGTTAATGGTTATAATAACTGAAATGAACTGACAGAATGATAGCAAATTTTGAGTTTAGGGATATCGATAAAACGAGTGCGATGCTGAGGTTAGACCAGCACAGAGCTGAAAGGTTTTGCGAGGAAAACGGCCTGCAGCGGAATGGGCTGGAAGACTTACCAAAGAATTTTGATTGCTCTAAAAAACAAGAAATAGGATATATGGAATCAAACGTTGGACAGACGCCACAGTTGAGGTAATTGACGGATTTACTTTATCCACGGCAAATAGAAACAACAAAGAAAATTTTATGATTCTTTTCTTTATCTTTATGAATTTCGCTATTACGTGTCGTTTGCCACGAAAACCTTTCCCTACTTAAATTAGGACCGCTAGAAGCTGGAAGTAACTGGTGAGCGATAGCGCATTTCAAATCTATAAGTAGAGTAGATGGGATGATAAACTGAAAATTCGGAAATAACAAATTTAGATTAAATAACACTCCAGAAGGAACTTTATTTAGGTTAACTTGTTAACCTGAAGCTTACGAGGTCAGGGATGTTTAAACTGCACTCGGATGCCATATGGGTAAAGCTGACCTGCCTCTAACACAGGTGCAATCATAAAATGTTGTTTCCTTCTCTGCAATTGAAATAAATAACATTCTCAAGTCAAATAACAGAGATCCACTGTTTTCATTTACTATTACAAAGAAATATGTTGGTGTTGCTGTGTTTTCCGAGCTGGAAGTGTTGTTCGCAGACATTTCATAACCAGGCTATGCAACGTCGTTACAAAGCTATACCAAAAATCTACAAAGACAATCAGCATTTAAGCGCTTCAGTGTTTCTCGGTCGATCAAGTGTACGACATGAACCCATCGACTGCTTAGAAAGCGAGTTAGAAAGTGATAACCTTTGAATTTCACACTCAGAAGCTAATAATAATGTCCCAACTCAGATCTACGAAACTCAACAGACATCCTACCAGTAAAAGGCTGTAAATGACCTTTTTATGGCTAATTGACACCGAAATTAAAGTGGCTGCTGGATGGACTGGGTTTCACTCAAACTGATAACGATGAATAACCTTTCATAATCCACTAAGAATCACAAACAACTGAGCAAAAGGGAGCGCCAAGAGATCCGTGAGAAAGCGACAAATGGCTTCATATTCGCATAGCATATAAGCAAAACACTTTATCCTCTACCTAGATCGATGTGAAACAAAATAAGAGACACGCGGAATCAGGTCTGTTCTAGTTTTACTTCCCTCAATAGGAGTTAGGCGGGTGATCACGCGATCCAATCATATGACTGTATTCCATCGACCTTAGGAAGATGGATAATGTAGATGACTTGAATTTAGAATAATACAGAAATAACCTTTTTCTAAGTGCATGCTAACGAACAGCTACTGATAACAGCGATTTTACGGGGAACAAAAATTCACGACCAGTAGCGGTTTGGGAAGCGCTCGAGGACGCTTCACAATGATGGCAGTAATAGAATAAAACGCGTGTTACAGATCGGGGTAAAACACAGTATAGCCGTTCATCATCAGTCGACACATTGTTTTACTTATGCGCTGAGATCTTTAAAACTGAAAAAGAAAAAGGGCTCACTTTATTCAGAGTTTTACCCTCGGTTAACTGACAAATCACAAAGTGCAAGCGAACAAGACCATCTGGGATCACTTCCACTTGATTCGAGCATAAGCTCTCGGATACCCACATCAAAAGCAGATGCAAGGTTAGGGCATCCAATTGTTCCCACTTTTCACACGAGTCCCAAACCATCAAGGTCCCTTGGAGAAGTTGCATGACCGCATCAAGTAGCTGGTAATGAAAAAGGGCACGTGGGTAGTGATTCCATTAGATGACATGGTGGTAATCAATCAACCAATTCATAAATGAGAGCATACACTCTTTCCCGTTCTGCCACATTACATATCAGTCTTGGTTAGGGCAGCTATATGAATGCACATTTGGCAGGTCGTAAAGAAAAAGAATTCCCACAAATAAAGAAATTTCTCTAGAACAAATATCGAAAGGAGCAGGCCTCGTAGACGTTCATGGAAAACAATTGAAGAAGAAGCAATTTATGTCGAAGTGAACTAGAATTAAGCCTGATAAGCATACCTCAAAAAGCAAATGATCGAAGATGTATCAAAGGTCAAATGTGAGTACAGTCATGTTTTTCGGTAGAGAAAACTAATCTAACAGTCAAGGTGAAGCAACTGGTGCACGAATCCAAATACTTTAAATAAAGAAATCGCCGGAGAACACGTAAACGACAATATCATCACGGAAATCGTTGTGGTTTTTTGTCCCCGTTACGATATATATATATATAATACACGCGTACAACTTTGCAGTTGTAAAAACTGCATTTTAAAAAGCAATTACAGCTAAAGTGGGATTTTAAATCAAAAAGCCTGAATAACTATTTTTTATTCTTAATTTGAAAACATTCGCCTCCTCTTTAACTAATCAGTGAGTCTTTTCAACGCTACGAGCATCGCTAACAATGAAAACTAATGGTACAAGTATGGTTGTAAAACAACTGAAGTGGGTTCATGAGCATTGCCGTAAGGGATACAATAGAGAAATGAGAATCTGATACGCGGTGGGGCTACCAGGAAGTTTACGTACAAAAAATCTGAGTTGCGTGAAAGGCCATTAAGTACTGTTCTAATTTGATTTCCAAAAACAGCAACTGTATTCGTAAGCCCTGTTTTCATTACGCCAACAGTATACAACGACGTAATTGAATCTAAACAGAATCGAGCACTAAAAGCTTTCTAATTAGTTTTTAAAAGCAGTGCATAATCAAGATCATAAACAACAACATGTGGGTGTGCTAAAACCAACTGGCTACTATTATGTCATAGTGGAGTTGGGTAAAACGTCGAGCAAAAAAATGTTCAAGGCCTACCTCAGTTCGATATTCCGAATCCACCAGATTTGGATGATTGCAAGTCAAATCCACAATCAGCCGAATAAGAGAGATTGTGAACACTCGAATGGATTCGTTCTTTAAAAATTCTGAAAGTGCATATAGAATATGGAAAGGAATAAAATTATCAATAAGTGACAATATTAGAACCAACTGTTCAATCACAGCAATGCATTCGCTCTCAGGTGAAAAATAGAGGGGAAATGTCTTAAAGTTGTAAAAAAACTGGTTTTCATGTTCTCATCACCGGTTATACGAAGCCCAATCAAATTCACTTACAAAAATCCTGACGAATCTAGAGAACCGTTCGTGCTCCGGTTATGCTGATTATTTTTCTTGCAAAGAGAATAAAGCTAGCTAATAACTGTTCAATGTAAATCATCATCAAGGGCATCGGTGTACTAGTTCGGTCATCAAGAGGTAAAACTTATGTAAGGCTTCGAGCTACCACTTGATTGTGGATGGTCACCGACCGATAGTACTAATGCGCATCTCAACTGCTTTTGCGTATAATTGACGGTTACTTGTTAGTCAAGAATTCAAATGCCGAGATGACCAGAGGTGTATACACCACCAATGAGCTCTACCAAGAGCGAAACTGGAGTCTATGTTCCAGAGTGGCTGGATTAATGATTTGATGGGAGATTGAAGTCGGAAGAATGGCCAGTTAGTATCACGCTGAATGGGATGGATTGTAATGTGTAATTTCATCGAAAAGGATCACGTACTTTTTCGCAAAAGTAATGGGGTTTCGGAAAATGCAATCGTGATTTCGTAGTAAAATATTGGAGACAACAGAGAAAATTAAGCTAGTAACGATCAGTGAATAATAAAGTTCATGCCCACCATGTTTTACGGATTTAGAAGAAACCTCTTATTATATACACGAGAATTCATTTCGGACTATCAAACACATCTTGCATGAGGCTGCTGTCGGACAGCTAGATTGGAAACAGTTTTCACGTGAAAACCATTCAAGACTCACGGATATTGGAAAATATCAGCACATCAAAGAATAGCTTCAGTTGAATGAAAAAGGTGCAATCGAAAAAATTTACCATGATTTGTGTTTGTGATTGACGAAAAGAAATAGTGAACATATTCCACCTGTGACAAATTACCTGCACTAGGCACACTGTTGACCAATTCCTCTTCAAAAGATGCTATCAAGTGTTCCAATAAACGTTGCACCAGGTAGAAGTAGGGGGCAATCAGTTCATGTGTTCGATGAATTTCCGTCAGGAATGCAAAGGCTTCATGATAGACCTGTGGAACGGAATAAGAACAGATTCGATCTAAGATGGATCAGTATAAAAACCCACACAAGAACAATAATTATACACGATTTTTGATAGACTGAAATAAACATTAGCCTTTAATGTAATTTTAACCCAAAGTAAATGAGCTACCAATAATGTGAATGCCTTCCCCGTCCAGGAAAAATGGTTCAGATCATTTTCGACTGACATCAGCTGAGTGAAGAGATATGTGATGGGTTAAAATGATCAAAATTTTCGATTTAGCTCTGACATGTTTAGGTTCTAACAATGACACTGACAATGAAAACCCAAATCACTTTTTACGCGTGAAAACTGATATCTAGTTAATTATAATTATCCGCTGCTGTTCAGTGGATCTAAATACCGCATGTCCTAAACGCGATCATGAAAATCAAGCCTAGGCGATAAAAGCAAATGGATGCATAATACTTGATCAGTGATTCAAAATGTACCATTTAACCCGAAATCCATATCAAATAGTACAAACTTATATACACTGTACAACTGTTTTGTCTTTGTCAGGACATATTAACCCAATGAAAATGTATCTCAGATTAGCCGGTAAATGAACTTTAATTAGAAAATACAATTTGTTTCAACAATATCATAATCAACTCTAGGAAACAAATAAAAATGACGGTAAATTAACGCTTAGCAATAAGCTGAATTTAAGAAACCCATGCTTTTGCTTACAACTTAACAAATTCAGAGAGAAAAAGTTTTGACGTTTATTGTGTAGAGTAAATCTATCATTGGCTACCACTACCTGATAGACGGTAGTGAGGACGAGCGAGTTAAAAGCACCTATTATGATAAGAACTGAAGCAGTTACCTGAACTTTAGAATTGGGAGATCTTACAGAGTAGATGTGATCTTGAGTCAATGGATATCACAGGCCACAGCTCTTTACCGGAGAAAACTATATTCTGATACGGAATGAAGATTGTAGGCATCAGTTCATGCTGGTAACTGAAATGACTCAAATACCATCGGAAAATAGTGGGTAAATGTTTAGGTACCCACCCACCCCCCATCACCACCTACCAAACCGAGCGTGTGACAGAATGCTGAGTTGATTACTGGTCACGGTGAACGCACAAACAACCCTGATGTTAATTCCATAAACTTATTAAGGTAAGCTTCAAAGATATAGTGAAGCAGTACAACGATTTGCGGTGTGATATCACATAATCTTCAGTAAGATGACTTTCTTGTAAGCTCGATACCCGCAACCGGATTAAAACGACTACATTTAGGTAATAGTGCCATAAAAGTTTACCATTAAAAAACATTTCATTTTCAAACAATTATAGTTTCAGAAAGAGAGATTGGAGTACTATCTATTGTGTAGATTATTTACCTACACCGTGCTGCCTGATGAGCCTACCATATGAATGGACAAAAAAGAGAATGAAAAACGAACCATCACTGGATTTTCTTTTGTTTCATTTCCTTTGAGTAAATTACGGTTCATTCCACTACCAAGCCAAAGAATTCGATGAAGTGTGAGAATAATGCTTTCCGCAAACTGTTTCTCGGCCTCCGGTGATGCAGTCACCTGGTTATCGCATTCTTCTTCTTCCGCTATCCCCTCCAACATCCTATCGGTGGGCAGAGTTCGATCGGACTCCATGATATGGGGCGGGGAAAAATCTGTGGGGCTCTGACACTCATGCGGATCGACCGAGTTCAGAGAAGGACTGAATGATCCGCTGAGGAATACATCAGACATTGGAGAGTTGAAGGCTGTTGGAGTCAAATCTGGATCATCGTGCGATCGTTTCACACATTCGACAGTGGACGAACTCGGAGAATCGTGCTCTGAATGGGATGATGAAGAACTAGATCCGAAACCCTGCTGTATGTAATTTTGGAAGTAAAAGTAACTATAATTGAGGGTACTAGAATAAAATAAATACGAATGGCAGAAAAACAAATAGCACAATACGAAAACTTCCCTTTACGCTCATGCGATGGTGTAAAAAGCCTGCTACGTTGCCTCACATAAGCCATTAAAACATTGTAAATTTCCACCAGAATGCAATTGCAAGTTTGACAGATGTAAATACTTGTGAAAATGTAGATATAGACTTAGTTGTTTCTGATATTGATTGCCTCGTAGGCACCACTTTCAATGTTTTCATATTTTTGGTAAAGAAATGCACTTTGAACTAATTACTTCCAAAGAACTAATACATTCAAGTAATTGTATCTACAATTGCTTACAAAAGGAATAGTGCAGATGTATTCCATGTTTTTATTGTTTACAATATACACAAAGTATAGACCTGATGAACACAATGTAGCTGGATTACCGGGGGAATCAGTGTTCAAAAACGTCTGAAAAGTGAAACTAGTTTTCATGTTTACTTATATCAGTTCAGGATACAGAGGAGCGTGTGCCTATTCTATCACTGTACACATTTGGTGGTAAAACTAAGCGTTTGGGAGATTCATATAATCGCACACATATGCAACTCGCACCAAAGGTTTGGTTTTGTAAACCGACACATTGCACGGTTTTATTTCACTGCTCTCAGGTCTACATCCTCATCGAGTGGGAAAGAAATCGAATCTTTCGGTGGGAGCGGTTAATGTCGCATAAGCCCAAATTTTATTTTTTGCATCGGTCACGGATTGGCGAGAGAGAAAAGGAGTCGTGCTAGATTACATAATTCAGGGTATGGGCTGAGAAATACATTTAGTCTTTCGGTCTAGGTATACACTAGGAATACAGTTATATGGGCTACGTGTTGAGGAGTTCACTTTTGGTAGTTTGCTTATTTCTTGATACACACAGAGGGATTACCACCTCTAGTATGTCAAATTCTGTATCGTCGCTGTCAAAAACATATGGGCAGCTGATTCACCCATGTTAGGGCTCATCAGCTGTATGTACTACTTTTGTGTCTCTTGTTGGACTCCGACCGCGAACACTCTGGTCGGGAACACAGAAATCCACCACCAGTAAAACGCTTAAAGCGAATGGGAAACTATTGAACAAGCATGGAGCTAGACCAACACAGTACGATCAATACACGGATTTTGATGCTATCGAATTTGCCTGAGCTAAAACGAAAGGCACAGAGAATCCAATTGAGAATTTAAGAAAATTATTTTAACAAGACCGATAAGGTCATCTACCATTTACAGCGGCAAATTCATAAAAATAAACTATCCATACTTTCATTTCCAATAATTAGACGAACAAGTGCATCGCATATTGCTATTCCCTTTACTGTTAATCAAAATATTTTAAATTTCGAAATATACCCATATTCGTATTTAGAACACGATTTCAGGCGATTAGTTGTTTTCAATAACTCATAAACATGCTTTCACAGTTTATATGAGAGGAAGAAACCTAGGAGTTTTGAGGACAACAATAAAATGTGCCCAGAAGGGTCTTATCCTAGTTCTTCATCTCCCCTAGGTTCATGGACTCGCCTGCCCACCTACACAAACCTTCACACAATAACATCGATTCCTTAGAACTGGGTCACACGACCAACGAGACGTCACTGAAAACCCCGGAAGCACAGATCTGAGAATGTAGTGCTGAACACTTATATTAACAAAATGATGGGTTTCTCACATTTCATTGTTATCCACTAACTTCGCGTTACTGAAAACAATTGTTCGCCTGAAATTGTTTCCAAATATTCTAGTTATTCTCAACCGGGAACTGACGAGATAACTACACGATCAAACAAAATTCCACAAAATAATTAACTGGTGGGTAGTAATATCCCAAAACTATTCTGTGGAGCATAATAACAACACCTCGGGGGCACACAGTATCTGTTTTCAATTTCAGATCTTGATTTTACTACGACATAAGAGGTAGACTGCACTATTTCGTGAAGGACCAGCGTGCTTTGCATATGACGAAAAACCCTGGATTCTAAAAAATGCACATTAATATATCTCACGCCACAAGACAGAGAGGGAGAATGAGAAGAACCTGAAAGGAATGTGAAATATATACAACACGAGTGGTGATAGTTCTTGAATATGGCGTATGTTGTAACAAATGTTAGTCATTTAATATCCAAGTGGTCAGCACACCTTAGTACAAGGCTGGTGTAAAAAAGGCTTTCTAGTCTCGTAATAATTCTTTTCGAAGAATTATGGCCACTGCAAGCGAGTATTAATTATCCACACAATGCGGATACCTTTGAACATTTCTACGAACTGAAGTAAAATTTCTGGACTGTAGTCATTGTTATTCATATATATATAGGATAGATTCGTGAACGCGAAAGTGTAAAAGTAAACTACAAAAAACTGCGGAACAAATGAGTTTCAGTGTCTATATAACTAATAGTATAAAAGGGATAACAAACAGCGATCCAGTAAGTAATATAACAAGGTCTATTTCGAATGGTGAGCATGAAAATTAAATAACTCTCACTTGACAGACAGCGCCTACGGAATTGGAAAATACTACACATAACAAACTATAATTCAGTGTTGTGATCTCAAAGTATCCAAAGCAAAAGGCAAGTATGATCACCTCAACTGGATGTGTAATGTTCAGCCGACCACGAATTCTCATCGATCGATAGCTCAAACCGAATCGTGACACGGAGATACGGTCCTGTTTTGTCAGAGTCCTGCAAACACCATACGAGCAATAGTGTAAAGATACATAAAGGTGAGGGAGAGTAAGGGTAAAAGTTAGATGAAGCGTGCAACCAAAAAACATCAATTATTATTACAGAAATGCAAATTTTGGACTAAACGAAAGCAAATTTCATAGAATTAGGTTCAAAGCAATAGTGGATGAGTATGCACTGGCAAACGATTCAATTCGGTGATAAGTTAGCGGAACACAGAGACGATGATTTACCTAAAAAAATAGGGTATACCGTGAAATCAAGAAATTAATCCTTTTGATTGATAAAGTCTATGAAGAAAGAGAAAATCGGTTCTTTTGTCAACAACCCAGCGAATAAGAATTTAATACAATCTGCTGGCATCAATAGGAGCCTTCAACGCCCCACTTTGTATTATATTTGCGTGGACTTGGATGCACTTTCAGCTTCAATGATGTCCATTATTATTGTTACTGATTACTTCAGATGACTTCAGATTGCTTTTTAATCTCCACATGATTTAGTTTATTCGCCGTCTGATAAAAGATTTACACTCTCTTTTCTATTCGAAGTGATAAGTTGCGTTACCTTACATGAAAATAGGCACGTCTCGTATTTTCAGCCTAATAGTGCCCTGGGAACCACATCCGTCACGCTCAAGACAGTAGATTAGCACTGTACTCTCTACCTACTGGTCTGGTCTTAAAAAGTAAACTTGGTAAAATACAACGGTTTGAATAACTCTGGTCGCCGATAATATGAACAAAAAAACAGTGAATAGTTGGTCTCCGAAAGTCTCAGTATGGTCGGGCTGGGGTTCTAGGGTTGCGGCTAAGCCCCCTTCCCTTGCACCCCGCGAAATGCTCCCACACGACGAAGTGTCTCAAATAGCCTCTGCTGAGGAAGCCCTACTCACCACCTTCGCGTGGTTGAAATGTTTTCCCACCAAAATGAGGGGGTTAATACCCGACATCCGGGACTATAACCGGGTTGGTGGGCCACTGGCTATTCACCTAGAAGAGTTGGTCGAAAACCTTGATTTCAAACCAACCATGAGGTGTACGAGGTATACGAATCACAAACACCTTCCTGGTGGTGGCGGTGGCCACCGGCTCGATTGGGTATCAAGATGTATAAGACACATTGGACGTGTAACCCCGTCAAAAGGGCGTATGACCCGATGAATTGAAGACCGGCCCCGAACGGAACGCGGGTTCCACACACCGCCCTGCTACCTTGCGGGTCAGGCTTCGGTAAGCCGAAGGTTCCGGTTGTGGATTCCTCAATAAAAATGCACTTACTTCCGCCTGGACAACATAACAGTGTACACCAGACATGTAAATTATTGACTGTTATATTTTTTATAAAGACCATTACACCGTGATTTGTATGGCACACAGTCTAGAGTGAGATGTGTGATATGAACATATATGTAACTAGATAGTGAGATAGATAGATAGACAAGGATAGATAGATAGATAGATAGATAGATAGATAGATAGACACGGATAGATAGATAGATAGATAGATAGATAGATAGATAGATAGATAGATAGATAGAAAGACACGGATAGATAGATAGATAGATAGATAGATAGATAGATAGATAGATAGATAGATAAAGACACGGATAGATAGATAGATAGATAGATAGATAGATAGATAGATAGATAGATAGATAGTGATGGATAGATAGATAGATAGATAGATAGATAGATAGATAGATAGATAGATAGATAGATATAGATCATAGATAGATAGATAGATAGATAGATAGATAGATAGATAGATAGATAGATAGATAGATATTATAGATGGATAGATAGCAGACAGATAGATAGATAGATAGATAGATAGATAGATAGATAGATAGATAGATAGATAGATAGATAGATAGATAGATAGATAGACACGGATAGATAGATAGATAGATAGATAGATAGATAGATAGATAGATAGATAGATAGATAGACACGGATAGATAGATAGATAGATAGATAGATAGATAGATAGACACGGATAGATAGATAGACACGGATAGATAGATAGATAGATAGATAGATAGATAGATAGATAGAGATAGATTGATAGATAGATATCTATGAATAGATAGATAGATAGATAGATAGATAGATAGATAGATAGATAGATAGATAGATAGATAGCGGATAGATAGATACGGATAGATAGATAGATAGATAGATAGATAGATAGATAGATA